GGAGGGTCCGTCCTATGGGTTTCGGGGTGGAACAAGGGGGAAATGGGCTCTCAGGTGGGGGTTTTGCAAAGTTAACTCATTGTGGGACTTGTATTTTGGGGTGAAAAAAGGAGGAAATTGTGCTGAATCCTGCCGGTTGGGGGGGGGGATTAACTAATTGTAGGACTTGTATTCTGAGGTGAAAGAGGGCGAAATTGGGCCGATTCCTCCCCGTTAGCGTGCAGAGTGGGTGGTGTGCAGAATTAACTCAATGTGGGGAGTGTGTTTTGGGGTGAAACGAAGGGAAAATTGTGCTGAGTCCTCCTGGGGATGGGGATTGCAGGATTCTAACTGAGGAGAGGGCTGTCTTTTGGGGTGAAAAAGGGGGGAAATGGGCTTGTTGTTCCCAGGTGTGGGGGTTGCCAAATTAACTGACATAGGAAGAGAACTGTCAGATTTTGGTAAAAAGCATCAGACAGGCACCTTTTTTTTTTCATTTATTGCCTTTTCCCCAATTCTGCCCACAGCCAGCATGATGGAGCCGGGGCAGGAGCCGTGTCCTCCCCAGGACCAGGGTGACAGGGACCTCCCCACAGAGCCCTGTGCAGGTGAGGGGGGGACACGGGAATGAGCTCGGTGGGTGGCCAGAAGAGCAGCCAGGAGATGGTTGTCTGGGGAAAACCCCAAGAAAATGGGGAAAACATGGGCCAGGAGATGGTCTTCTGCTGGGAATGGTCCTTGATGGTGGAGAAAAGAGAGACCAAGAGATGTTCTTCTGCATGGAATAACCCTCCATGACCCACCAGGAGATGTTCTCCTTTGGGGAACATCCCTACATGGTTGGACAATGACCCAGCAGACATTCCTTTCCGCTCTCCCTGGTGGTGTGGTGCTGGTCCACAGTGGTAGTCACCCAAATGTCTGCATCAACCTGACAGGTATCCTGGAGGATGGCAGGATGGCACCAAAGCCCTACGGCTGCCCTGACTGTGGGAAGACCTTCAGACTTAGGTCCACCCTGATCCAGCACTGCGGGCAGTGTGGGAAGCGCTTCATATACAAGAGCCAGTTGGTGTCCCACCAATGGGCTCACACAGGTGAGCGGCCCTACCAGTGCGGGGAGTGTGGGAAGGCCTTTAGGCTGAGCTCCAACCTTATTCTGCACCGGCGGACCCACACGGGTTATCAACCCTTCACCTGTGGCCAGTGCAATAAGAGCTTCGGCCACAGCTCCACCTTGGCCCAGCACCTCCGGACCCACAACGGGGAGAAGCCCTGTATCTGCCTGCTCTGCACCCACGTGTTCAGAACCAGTTCCCAATTGGCCAAGCATTGCCGAACTCATATTGTCAAGATGCTCTACTACACCTGCCCTGAGTGCAGGAACACCTGCCAATTGACCCCTGACCAGGTCAAACATCTCCAGAGCAGCACCAGGGAGAAGCTCTACAACTGCAAGCACTGCAGGAATACCTTCAGCCTCAGATCCAACCTGGTCAATCACAAAGGGACCAAACCAGAGGAGAGGCCATTCTCCTGTGGGCAATGTGGGAAGAGCTTCAAGAGGAAGGATGACTTGACATCCCACCAATGGACCCACACTGGGGAGAAGCCGTACGCCTGCCAGGTCTGCGTCTATACCTTCAGATACAGCTGCAGCTTGGCCAAACATCTAAAGACCCACATTGGCAAGACGCGCTACTATACCTGCCCTGAGTGCAGGAAGGCCTGCAGTCAGACGCCTGACCAGGTCAAGCATCTCCAGAGCAACACCAGGGAGACGCTCTGCGACAGTGAGCACTGCGGGAAGACCTTCATACTCAGCTCTGACCTGGTCAAGTGCCAAAGGACCAACCTTGAGGAGAGACCATTCTCCTGCGGGCAATGTGGGAAGAGCTTCAAGAGGAAGAGCCACTTGGTGTCCCACTAACATACCCACACCAGTGAGCGGCCCTACCTGTGCAGGGAGTGCAGGAAGACCTTCAGGCGTAGCTACCACCTGATCAAACACCAACGGACCCACACGGGCGAGCAGCCCTACCGGTGTGAGGAGTGTGGGAAGACCTTCGTGAAGAGCTCTAACCTGATTCAGCACCAACAGGTCCACAGGGGCAAGTGACCCTTCACTTGTGACCAATGTGAGCAGAGCTTCAGCAACAAATCCGTCTTGGTTGCACACCTCCAGATCCACACTGGCGAGAGGCCCTATGCCTGCCCGGTCTGTCCCCGCGCCTTCAGAACCGTCTCCAGATTGAACGAGCATAGCCGCACCCACATTGGTGAGACGGTCTACTACACCTGCCCTGAGTGCGGGAAGACCTGCAGACGGACCCCTGACCAGGTCAAACATCTCCAGAGCAGCACCGGGGAGAAGCTCTATGACTGCGAGCACTGCGGGAAAAACTTCAGCCTCAGCTCTGACCTCGTCAAGCGCCAAAGGACTGACCCAGAGGAGAGGCCGTTCTCCTGTGGGCAATGTGGGAAGAGCTTCAAGAGGAGGGTTGACTTGATGTCCCACCAACAGACCCACACTGGGGAGAAGCCATATGTCTGCCAGGTCTGCGCCCGTGCCTTCAGATACAACCGCCACATGGCCAGGAACCTAAAGACCCATGTTAATGAGATGCTGTACTACACCTGCCCCGAGTGCAGGAAGGCCTGTAGTCGGACGCCCGACCAGGTTAAGCATCTCCAGAGCAGCAGAGGGGAGAAGCTCTACGACTGCGAGCACTGCAGGAAGACCTTCAGCCTCAGCTCTGACCTCGTCAAGCACCAAAGGACTGACCCAGAAGAGAGGCCGTTCTTCTGCGGGCAATGTGGGAAGAGCTACAAGTGGAAGATGGACTTGACGTCCCACCAACAGACACACAGTGGGGAGAAGTCCTACCACTGCAAGGAGTGTGGGAAGACCTTCGGGACAAGCTCCAGGCTCCTCGAGCACCAGTGGACCCACACGGGTTAGCGACCCTTCACATGCGGCCACTGCAGGAAGGCTTTCAGCCACAGATCCAACTTGGCCAAGCATCACCTCACACACACTGGTGAGAAGCCCCACATCTGCCCGGTCTGTGCCCGCGCCTTCAGACTCAGCAGCCACTTGGCCCAGCATCACCACATGCACACTGGTGAGAAGCCCTATGTTTGCCCGGTCTGCGCCTGCACCTTCAGAGCCACCTCCCAGGTGGCCAAGCATCGCCACACCCATACCAACAAGAAGCCCTAGGGCTTCCTGCACTGCAGGAAATGCTTCTACTACCAGCCCCAGTTCACCCACCACCTTCTGTAGGTCCACCCCGCAGGGGACCTGGCGTATGTTGAGCTCCGTGGTCACTACGTCCCCTTTGTGTGACAGGGTTTTGGAAGCATGGGATGAGAGCTATGCAGGTGTCTGCGCGAGACCGAACAACAGAAATTTGTCTCAAAGATTGCTTAAGACTGTTTGTGGTTCTTGCGATGCCACCAGAACTTCTGTTATCTGCAGAAGGCAAGAAGCAAACCGGTAACTTTCCATTATCTGCAGGAGACCAAGTAAGGTGCAAAAGGCAACCAGTCGAAACCAGTTTGGTGTGGGGTCAGAGGACAGTTACATCTCTTTATGGGGGGTACATGACACTCACAACCACCCAGACACATGGGAGCATGCATAGCACTCTGTAGCGAGGGCAGGTGTTGGACTCGTGTCCTTCGCGTGATCACCAGGTACATGCCCAGAACTGGAGAAGATGTGCTGACATGCTGTCACCATGGTGACACCCACAGCAAGAACCTGATAAAAGCCCCACTGGAGAACTCGTCAGCATGCACCCACTACTGAAGATTGAAGACTACGGACCTTCAGCATGCTCATTGGATCCATGGTGGTGACTATCTTGGCTTAATTTCTGCCTTTTTATTCTACCCTATCCTATTGCTATACCTCTTTACTTTTGGTAATAAAAGCTGTTTCTGGTGTACCTCGTTTGAGTCTTAATCTCGCTCTTGGGATCACCTTAAACCCTCCCTAACTTTGGATTGGGACACCAGGTCCATCTTGTCAGCCCCAAGGCCGTGGCTACATCTTGAAGGACCATCCTGGGATCCCTCGTCTTGATCCAGGTCCATCACTGTGCCCCAAGGCCATGCCTTTGTCTTGAAGGACCGTCCCAAAATCCATCACTGTGCCCCAAGGCCATGACTTTGTCTTGAAGGACCATCCCAAAATCCATCACTGTGCCCCAAGGCCATGACTTTGTCTTGAAGGACCGTCCCAAAATCCATCACTGTGCCCCAAGGCCATGACTTTGTCTTGAAGGACCATCCCAAAATCCATCATTGTGCCCCAGGTCTGTGTCTCCATCTTGAAGAGCCATCTTGTCCTCATGGAAGTCCATCCTGCCCCAAAGCCATGTCTGCAGCCCAGGGAGCGTCCCTAGGTTCCCATCCCACCTCCATGTCCCTATCCCACCTCCATATGTCAATAAATAGTGGTGAACACTGCTGCTGTGGTTCCTGAC